GATTGCCTCGACAAAGGTCAAAATGGGAAAGATCACGCAAAAGGTATTCTCATTTGTCCAATACATGACTATTTTTGTTTGTCACAACCATTCCTCTTTGGCTAATATTATTTTAGGAAGCAGAGATGGTTGATCGTCTCCGTTCCGCCCAGGAAGAGCGCGACGAACTTCAAAGAGCACATGAGCAAGCAGTCGCTAATCAGAACCAGGTATTTCCATCTCATGGTTTAGCTTTCTTCGAATTTGGTGTTCAGTCGTTTGGACCCTTTTTGCTTTCGATTTGGCGATTTTGAATTTATCAGCTTAGCTTAAATTTGGTACTGGAGAGATCATACGCAGTGCAGCTTGCATTTGGTTTTTTTCAAGATTCACCTTTCTTTAGAAGATCATGTTTCTAGGTTATAAGGGAGTCTCGCAAGGTAGCAGGCAGAATGCGTGACCTACAAGAAGAGTTGCATCGGGCTGAAATCACGACTAAAAATGCTGTGATGAGGTAATTTTTTTTTAAACTTTGATACAGTGTGAATCATGCTGAACGAACGACCGTCGAATTCCTTTGCAGATTCGGCGAAAATATACCCAGCATTTTGGAGGTCATGAATGCAAACTCCCACAAGTTTGAGCATCTACCAAGAGGTCCCATAGGTAACTTTTCACTTTAACTCTTTAATTTGATTTTCTCTTCTGCTATATGATACCATGCTAGTATTTCTACATCAGCAGAATCATATGTTTTGCCTTTTCAGGAATGTATATGAAATTACGTGATCGAAAGTGGACGTTTGCGGTTGAAGAAGCTACGCGCCGTTTGTTGACTTCTTTTGTGTTTCACTCTAAACGTGACCATCAGACTTTCGAAAGGTTAATGAGAGCAAACCGGATACCTGGAGCCTTGCCAAATGCTATTTTCACCAAGTGAGTGCTTTGATCATGTCTTCCATGCAAAAATCTTTGTATTCAGGTTCACAACGCCTCCACATGATGTGAGGAAGAATGAACCGTCATCTGATTGGGACACCATTCTCAGAGTTGTCGAAATAAGCGATAATGTTGTTAGGTACTATTTTTTTAGCTATGATACCAGAACGGTGCATTGAAATTGTATCCTTCGGCATTTCATCTTTTTAGGAACGTTCTGATTGATATGGCCTCTATAGAAGCTACAGTACTCTTGCATTCCGACCAGGATGCTAGAAGAATCATGGATGGCAACGTGGGCTTTTGTGTTCATTTTT